TATATATATATATATATATATATATATATATATATATATATATATATATATATGATAAATATATAAAAAATGCATGTGAGTACTCAAATGAAAGCTTTTGATAAGTGTAACATCAGGACGAGCTTATATTTTTAAAAAGGACAATATTTAAGAAAGTACAGTGCAATTTAACAAAAGTCATTAATTAACAAAGCAAAATTTTATTCATGTTTAGCTTACAATAAAAAAAAAATAAATAAAATAAAAGAAAAAATTATAATGTATCCATGACTACATGCACGAGTTTATTAGCAAAGCAACAGTGTTGACGGGTGGTTGGGATACTTTCCTCTTGGTTCTTTCTCGCCCATCCATTTGGGTACCCGTCTCGCCACTTTGTCGCGCGATATTGCACTTTAAACTAGTTACTTCGTCAATTACATTATCCACTGCGGAAAACGCTTTCGTTTCACTCGTCTCTTTCTTCTTCGATACGTTCACCTATTTTGAGCGTATCTTAAATTTCATGGCTTTTATCACGCAATGTCACACCCCCAATTAACCAATCAACCGCGTAGAACTCATCAATATAAATCTGGATCAATTTTGCTTCTATACTAGTATATTGTACCAAGAATTTGGTAACTCCAATAGTATTTTTAAGAAAAAAATAAATTGTATAATTGATTTAAAAAAAAAAAAAATAATTAATTTCTTACAGAGTATTTTATAATTATTTTTTGAATTATTGACGCGGAATTTTCTTGTCATATGCGCGCGCAGTCTAAAAAAATCTAGTGATATGATTGGTTGATCTCATTTTAACTTGATTAAGTGGCGCCATAGTTTTCACGTGAGAGAAACAAGAAAAGTTATTTTGTTTTTGTACGTGTGTATCATTGTGAATTTAAATAAAAATTCATTTAAAAAAAAAACTACGTAAACTAGGCTACTGATATTAAATACGGCAGCAGATAATCGAATTCTGGAGCTAATAAAAAAAGCCCGGTCTCGATACATCTATTTTGTTCGGGAGTTATCGTGTTTACATACTAAATCAGCGTACAGACATCCGGACGTCCACGTAAAATTTTTTTCCAAACGTTTTTATTTAAAAGTACCAACATTTAATTATTTTTATAAACTATAAGATGGATTAATTAAAGTGTTTTCTCGAGGTACGTCTACTCATATTATTGTATAAGTGCAATATGCTCGTGATAGAGGCATTTTAAGATCACAAAATTGCTTGACCTTGACGTGTCGGGAGTA